CGCTGCTGCCAGCCTCCAGAGGCTCCGGAGGCAGCACCCCACTCCCAGATGGTCCTGGCCCCATCTCTGCATCGGACGCAGAACCCTCGTCCGAGTCCTCTCCAGATTCCCAGACTGGTCCCCTTTCTTCCCCACTGTACCCGATTCCACTGCTGTCTGCACCGGCTGCCGGCGAACCACAACACTTAACAACCGTGTCACTAATTTAACAAGCACGGTGATTCGCTTAACGGCAGTGGCAAAATGGGGCAATACTCACTTAACAATTTTTCCCGCTTAGCTATAAATTCACTGTCGAAGACTACCTGTAATGGGACAGCTCTTTCAAATTGAAAAGGAAATATGTTTATTCCATATTTATCAACTTGCCTCTGCAACCATACACAATCGCTTTGACAGGATGGCTATACTTCACAGTGAACAGCAGTTAACAACAAATAAAGAACACTAATCCATAAACATTTAAGAAACTTCATGGCTTTCTAGAAAATGTTGAAACAATGGCCTTATGCTACAGGAAAAGACCCCCTGATAAAGTTTAATATTACTGATATCTACTTGCATCCTTCCTGGATTCTCTATAACAGGGGTCTCCAACCTTGGCAACTTTAAGCCTGGAGGACTTCCAAATTTTTGGTCCCAATTGTGAATGAGGACTATCTGGGTAGAGGATTGGATGATCTATGAAATTATTTCCAATGTTTATATTCTGTGATTCTAATTAGAAATTTTGTAGTTAAATTCATACAACGTGGCAAATTTGGCTGGCTTTAAGTTTTAACCTTACTTGGGGCGGTTTTCTGTCGCGTAACTTCTGGCAGGCACAAGCATGGATTGTTCATTTAGTTTGTGATTTATTATATTGTCTGAACTCAGAAAATGGACTATTTCAGTATGTTTAAGCAAGCTGTATTGGTTGTTTAACATCTTTAGCTTTGTCAGAATAATCAAGATGGTTATTTTTTAAAAATGGGTTTAATTTTAAATAGCAATTCCGAGGTGAAAAAGAGGATTTTTAAAAGTAATTTCAAATAACTCCTGGGAAAATAGCAAAGGAAAGCTATGGTCTTTTTTTTTTTAAAGGGGGAAGTTAATTAGAGATAGAAAAGGATGCAAAGTAATATACATCATTTCAAAATAATATTTTTTCCACTTGACCAGGTGATGATTCTACCCATCACTGGTAATATGCTACTCAAACAGACAGTCCTTGTTTTTAGCAACTGCCGTATATAATTCACAGGGGATTAAAAAAAGTAACTTTGCAACCAATCCTTACATTTATAATCTTCCCAGGTCTGTAAAGCAAAAGAAAAGTGAAGTAAGATTGTAAAATTGTGGTGTTTCTCTTAGCGACCACTTTGCTTAACGGCTGAGTTGCCAGTCTCAACAGTGATCTCTAAGCAAGCTCTACATATACAGATAGACCTCGACTGATAACCTACTTGTTTAGTGACGGTTGGAAGTTGCAACAAAAAGTAACTTATAACCATTTTTCACACAGACGACCCCATGATCATATGATCAAAATTTGAAGCCTGGGCAACTGGCTCGTATTTATGACAGTTGTAGTTGCGTGATCCCCTTTGGCCACCTTCTGACAAGCCAAATCAAGGGGGAAGCCAGGTTCACTTACAACGATGCTACTGATTTAACAACTGCAGTGATTCACTTAACAAGCATGGCGAGAAAGATTGTAAAATGGGGCAAAACTCATTTAATAATGGTCTTGGTTAGCAACGGAACTTTGGGCTCCATCGTGGTTGTAAGTCAAGGGTTACCTGTACTCCATGCCTTTTGCCAATCACAATCCACTCCTTGAAAAGTTCTCCAATGGATCCTTGACTTATCCTACTATTTGTCAGGATTCCGGCAGTTGCCCGAATTAAATCATGAGACTCGAGCAGAGCTTTTAAAAACTTTGAAGGATTTATTAGGAGCTAACATGTCAGCATGACCTGTAATGAAGCCCATTCTGAGGCATGTATTCACTGTCACCCTTGACTATGGTTTTCCCCCCACCCTCTCTGGGTGTATCATAGTTCATGTTCTCCAACAAAACACTTCCATAGCCAAGAGTCATCAATCACGTTCTCCAATTAGAGATTTGCACGGCAGAAATTACAGTAGCTTAGTAATAATCTTTGCAAGATAAGAATGGAATGCACTTTCAGTTCCAAACTGCTGCACTGCTCTTTCATGGCAACTTTCATGTCCTTGGCTCTCTGAGAAAGAATGTTGTTATGTCTAATCTTCTACCCCACTATGAAATCCCCCCTCCCAAATTCCCAGGCACTTCCAAGTAAAAGATGGCTTCCAAGCCTGACATACTTCCCTTCGGCCAATCAATCATCTGAACCCGTACAGGTTCTACAATGGTGGGATTAAATTTTTTTTACTACCGGTTCTGTAGATGGCACGTGTGGCACAAGTGGCACGCAGAGCCGTTTGTGCTGGCACATGAGCTGCACGCAAACTGACCTCACTGCGCATTCACACGTCTCACAGCTGATTTTGGGGGGGGGGGTTGGTTTGAGGCCTTTTTCGGCCTCCCAGAGGCTTGGAAAAAGCCTCTGCAAGTCTTTTCAGGATGAATTATAGGCCCATTTTGTCACTTCCGGTA